AATGAGATCACCAAGGAAGAGTAACAAGGTCTTAGCCCAGGTGTAAGCCAACGTTAGGAGGTCAAGGACTAAGGTGGCAACCAGAAAATGAGACTGTCTGTGAGTACAAAGTCTGAGAGTAGCAGGAACTCGGGAATATGAAGTGACCTGACAGAAAAAGAAGGTCTAGGAAGGAGGAAGAAGGGATTAACTGTGCCAAATGCTATGGATGAGACACGTAAGATGAGAACTCCCCATTAGATTTAGCAACCTGGGACTATTAATGTCCTTGTGAAGAGCAATTTTAGTGAAATTATGAAGCCAAAATTTGATTGAAATGTGTTTAAGGCATAACAGAAGCAGAGGTATAGGAGGTAGTAAACAGGTAGTAAATATAGACTGATTTTTTTCAAAAAGCTTTCCTGCAAAGTCTTGGAGCTGCAACTGGTAGAAAAAGCTGAGTCAAGATCATTTTTGGGTGAGTGTGTGTCTGTTTTAAGATTGAGAACATAACAAAAAGAAAATTTGATATAGGAGTGGGAGGGTGGAGTTGTTGGAGTGAATTACTTACATAGGTGAGAAAATTACTAGGGATCTAGTGTATGGGTGGAGGGACTGGGTTTTAATAAGAGCACATGAGGCAACAGGTAGGAAAGCCAGGCGTGCGGGAGCAGCTGCTGACACACGAAAAGAGGTGGTGGAGGGCTTCTTCAGAATGCTTCAATTTTCAGCGAAGGAGGTGAGAAGCAACATCATCAGTGGAGAATTGGGAATGCAGAAGGAGGTGATAGGGAAGTTGAGGAGTGGAAAAATGTGAAAAAGAAATCTAGGAGAATGGGAAGGTGAACAGTAAGGAAGCCCTGAGTGTGTCCTGGAGGTTTGTGATCATGGATTTGAAGTTAGACCTGTCAGTGTGGTTTTGCACTTTTCTCCAAACATGTTCAGTGGCACAATATAGAAAAAGAGTAGGTGGAGATATGGATTTTATCAGGGTTGTGGTAAAAAGCAAATGTCATAGGGTGGTGAAGCAAGAATGAGGAGCAGGAGTCAAAGGTTTGTGCAGGGCAGTGATTACAGTGATGGACAGTGGCATTTATTTAAACTGGCTACAGCTGTGCCAAAGTATTATTAATGGATCGGTGTCAACTAAGGAACATCTAATTACGTCTCACAGGCTTGTCTTCCATCCCACCTTGAGAGTTGTACAATAAAAAATGTTATTAGGGCAAAAAAATTATAGTCAGGGTGATAAAAATTAATACCAAAAAGTACATATGATGTATATCCTTGTACTAGAATCCACTCCACTAGTACAGTGTAGAAATTGATACATATGCATTAGAAAGTCATCAAATACATTATGTATCAGGAAATAAACAGGCACAAGGATAAGATCATTATATAATCCATGTCTTTTAGTCTGTATTTGATTGTATACCATGTGGGAAAATGTGGATAGCAAGATTATATATCAAGCAATATGACATACTTGGAGGTACTGTAGTAAAATCCAGAAATAAAAAATTATGGCATAATGCATTCATGAAGGCAATACTGTTCATGTTTTCAACCCAAAGTAATTCTTTTTGTAAAATTTCTCATGTATTGCTGTTTGCTTCCTTTTATTACTGTCTTCAATGTTTACTTAATAAATCTTTATTGAGTATGTGCCATAAATATTATACTTTCCTAAGAACTACAAAGCTTATAAAATGGAACGGTCATGGTCCCCACCCAAGGGGGCTTATGGTCTAGTTGTTGAAATCAGGTCTACTCACACATATCTAAAAAACATGGCGAGGCGTGCCTGGGTGGCTCAGTCGGTTGAGCATCCAGCTCTTGTTTTCAGCTCAGCTCATGATCTCAAGGTCATGGGATCAAGTCCCATGTCAGGCTCTGCCATGCCAGCACAGAGCCTGCTTGGGATTCTCTCTCTCTCTCTCTCTCTCTCTCTGCCCCTCCCATGTTTATCCTCTGTCTCTGTCTCTGTCTCTCTTTGAAAATAAATAAACTTTAAAAAAAAGTTTTAGAAAACGTGAGGAGAGAGTGTAGGTACAGAAAAGTTAAAAAAATGGTAAGAAGCCAGCTGAAAAGAATATAACATTTTCTTTAAAAGCTAAGTATGTGCGGGGCGCCTGGGTGGCTTAGTCGGTTAAGCGTCCGACTTTCGCTTAGGTCATGATCTCGCGGTTCGTGGGTTCGAGCCCCGCGTCGGGCTCTGTGCTGACTGCCAGCTCGGAGCCTGGAGCCTGTTTCGGTCTGTGACTCCCTCTGTCTCTGACCCTCCCCTGCTCACGCTCTCTCTCTCTCTCTCTCCTAGAAATAAATAAAAAAATATTAAAAAAAAAATAAAATAAAATAAAAGCTAAGTATGTGCTTACCATATGACCATTAATGCAGTCTAGGGTATTAGTCCCAAAGAAATGAACACAAAATCTACACACCGACACACAAATGTTATAGTAGCTTTATTCATGATGGTCAAAAATTGTACACAACTCAAATGCCCTTCAATGAGTGAATGCTTAAACAAACTGAGGTACATCCATACCGTAGAATGCTATTCAGCAATGAAAGAATGAACTATTGACACACATAGTCTGGATTGATGCCAATGGAATTATGTTGAGTGAAAAAGCTAACCTCTAAAGGTTTCATACAGTATGGTTCCATTACCATTCTTGAATTGACAAAATCATAAACATTTAGAACAGTTTAATGGGTACCAAGAGTTAGAGACTGAGAACAGGGATAGGGAAGGAGCCAGGTGGCTATGGGTAGTTCGAGGGATACTTGAGATCAAACTATGCTGTGCCTCATCTATGGTGGTGGTTACATAAATCCATATGTGATAAAATTACAGAATTAAATACACACATACCCACATAACTGCATGTTTTGGAAACTGGGGAAATCTGAATAAGGCTGATGGATGGTCAATGTCAACTTTGTGATATTATATTATAGCTAAGCAAGATGTTTACCATTGTGGGAAACTAGGTAGGTGATACACAGGATCTCTCTGTATTATATTTTACAACTATATGTGAATCTATGATTATCTGAAAAAATTTTTCAAGTGTATTTTTTAGATGGTAAGGATTTCAGAAAAGAGGATGTTATATTCACTTGAGGGAGTCAAGGAAGGCTTCCAGGAGAAGTCATCACTAAACAAGAAATCAGCCCATTCTATTATTCTAATTATCTCTTCATTTCAAAAACGTCTATTCAAGCTATTATGATCAAGTGCCAATTGTTTAAAACAAGATTGTAGTTTAATTACATTAATAGTTACAATAGCTGCCATTTCTTGAGCACCTACTATGTTCCAAGAACTCTACTAAGCACTTTCAAATGTTACCTCATTTTAATATCTACAATCAAGTATTTGAGGTAAATATTGTTATCCCTGTCTTATAAGTGAGTATATTGAGGTTTAGAGTGTTTAATCACCTGGCTTAAATCACACAGTTAATGTAAAATCTGGATTACTTCTTAAAGTCAATGTGTAAACAATAATAAAGCTGTGTTTTCTGCATAATAAAAATATAGAGCAACACTTATTGAAAGACTATGACATACAGAGTACTTTCCTAGGTACTGTGGGAAGAGAGATAAAAGATATAAAAAGAACTCCCTACCACTTGTACAATTAATAAATATTATTCCAGTTATGGTTTCTTAACTTTCTCCAATGGCATAGTTAAAATAGACATGGTCAAAAATGCTGAAACCCTCTATATGTTATCTTTCAAAAGAAGTTATTTTAAAAGTATGACATCATATTACCTATTTTTCTGTGCACTTAAAGTTTGAACTACTACTCATATTTTCATTGTGACCCAACCTCTGTTTGTCTAATTTTGTAAAAGAAAGTATAAAAAGTATTTCTCTGAGGCCTGTGGTGCCATTGTGAAATTAAACTTCTAACATTTCTCCTTAATTTAAATCTCTTCCAGTTGGCTTGGAGAAGAAATGCCTCACATCACACGTTATAAATTCTTAGTTTGGAAACTCACCTCTAGAAGTCTGGGAAATATTAATCATGATGTCAATTTACATGTACTCATTTATAAATCAAATGCCTTCAAAGAGAGGAATTGTATTCTTTTGGTTTTATAAGACCCTCAAACAGAGTTTCTACTACCATGTTTACCACTTGAAGATCCAGACATCTTTTTCTATCTTCCCACAGCTTGCAGGCGCCATCTAGAGGCCCAACTACGGAAGGTACTGAAACAGGGAGATCAATTTTGAATGAAACACTGAGAGTAATTTAGTTTGAAATGTACTTAAATCTTTGTTTAAAACTCATCACTCGCCTCAAATTTTATTTTTTTCAGAATATTAAATGAAACAAAAATAATTTGTGCAAAATATCAAACACTGTCAATTCATGTCAGTTTTCAGCTTATTTCAGCCAAGTGCCTAAATTTTACCAGTTCACATGCTAACACTATTTGGGTCAGTAGAAGTCACATTTTTCCTACTGATCGTGGTTTTCAAAGTGGTTATGGCCCAATAGAGAATTTGGGTGACTAGCTGTATACAAGGAGGTAAGGGTAATGAAAAGTTTAGTGAAATTTCACCATTGACACGGCATGAGTTCTAACTTCATAATGGCAGATCACTTGTCTGTTATGTCTCTCACAGCTTAGTAAATTACCGAAAGTAGAATTCTGGAAATGGCTGGCACTTGGCTTTTATTTTTCAGTTTTGTATGGAAGTAGTTGGCAATTCAGTGCCATTCTAGACAGAGAAGGGAGGCTGTTTCCAGGATAACCTCCTGGGATATCTTCCATCCAAGCCCAGAGAAGTCCGAGGCCAGGGGCCCAAGCACGGGCTGGAAAAGCAGGTAGCAGGCAAAGATGTGTAATCATCTCAAAATGGAGGTCTGACCTCCATTTGCGTGACTACAACTATCCACTAACACCTGGACCTGATTCCCCTCAAGGCTTTGTAGCTGGAAAAGCTTTAAACACATGACACAAGCACTTTTAAAATTGCTTTTTTGAAAAAGAATTTGCAGTGGTGATGTTTAAAAGAATTGAGTAGTGGTATTTTTCCATCTTCCCCTTCTTCATGGACTATCATCATATCAAGTAAATGGATGATGTTTTCGTTACAATATATTGATATCTTCAGCAGTGCAAGGTTAAATAAATATTATTTGCTTTCACTTAGCACAAGTACATTATATAGAGTCTGTATAATTATTGTAGGCCACAGGAAAACACAATTGTCCCCACATTTATCACCATTGTTGTTAGCTAGAAATGAAAATAAAACTGTATCTTAGTTTCTCTGTATTTCCTTAACTTAATTTCCATTCTTTCTCCATCATTAAGTATTTGGTATTCTGCTTTCTGTTTGGCTGACCTGTCATCATGAATATGATCATTTTCCTCATTCCTTTAAGGAGAAAACTCCTAATACTTTTTTGTACATAAAAATAGAATTCTTTCCTTTTTAACATTTCCTTTCACCCTTTGTCCTGCACCTTGAAAACAGGTTTACTAAGATGAGAGAAGCTGGGGAAATGAAAGAAGGAATCGCTTCCAATTGTATATATGCATAAGAAATGTACATCAACAAGCCAAAATTTCGATGAGAAAATTTCTAGAAAACAAATGAATGCACATTGGGACAGAATCTATCTGGCAGAAGCAGGGCGCTCAGTGTGGAGCAGCGCTAGCAAGGAAATACATGCACCAAACAAACGGATTAGTTAGATGGGTCAGATCCGAGCGACCTGCGAGACTTCTGCCATTCTGCATCTTTGAGAACAGCCTAGACACAAAAATGTGTTCCATTCTACTAGACTTTTCTCTCTTAGATACCAGTTTTGGAATGGATCCAGTCCCGGAAAGCAGTCACTCTAGTATAAACACCAGGCTTATTAGGTTGCCCACATTCATCTCCCCAGCTCACTATTCCAGCAAGATACCAGATATCTCTAGCATCTGGACTAACCAGTGGTCCTCCGGAGTCACCCTACAGGAGAAGAGAGAGATTGGTGATTAATAATTCAGTTCATTAAAGCGGTTTTTGTTATTTTTCTAACTTGAATTTAATGAAAGGGGCAGTTTTCAAAACTCAGTGCGCTCAGATGCAGAAGTGATGCCCTGTGTCAGTAATTCACATAAGGGAGGAGGTCCAGTACCTGCAGCACTGGCTTAGATTCAGAGGTCGGTGCACTGAGATTAAAGGCGCCATCACTTTGGAGAAGAGAACTCTTATCTGGTACATCTGAGAAAATAATTCCTCATATTCTTTATCTGTGTGACATAGCTCCCAAAAGAAGGGTGAAGAGTCTATTACTGATATAAGGACAGACACTAGAGTCGGACACCTGGGTTTAAATCTCAAGTCTGGCTCTTCCAGCTGGTTAAGACCTTTAATTTACATATTTGTAAGGCTCCTAATAATACCTACCTCTGATGATAATTTTGAAGATTATACAAGACAGTAAATATAAAGTGCTTAGCATAGAGCCTGGCATAAAACAGAACTTAGTAAATACATATTTAAAACCACTAATTCCAACTGTTTATGCCTTGTGAACTCCAGAGGGATATTTCTTTATACAGCTCAGAAAAATAAGGTACAGGCTGATTTTTCCTCATAATCCTGGGGTCTTTAGTACTGACCAGCCATTAAATGTTCAGCATTCTATGGAGCTCTTAATTAACATATTACCTTACTAACTCATGTTAATTCTGACAACAAAATATGGAGTGAGGTTTCATTTTCTCCATTTTAACAATAGGGAAATCAAAACTCTGAGAAATTAAGTAATTTGCCTGATGACACATGTATTCAGTGGAGAACTGAATTTGAATCCAGAGTGCTCTAATCCAGACATTCAGCTTTTCCCCCTCTGCATTATATTAACTTCTTTGTGCATTTTCTTTTTTTCTGTAAAAATATTAACTAATACTAATAATAACTGAAATTGGAATATGTTGTAATTTTTAAATCAAGTTACCAATAAGTGTTAATCTATAGCCTCGTATGCAGTAGGAGATATAAAAAGAGTGTAAACACAGGTAGCATACAGATAAAACATTTTGGTAACTGAAACCCAAGCCTATATGAAGGTAGAGAAGATTAGGATGAAGAAATAGAAGATTCCAGAGACAACAAAATGTAAATCTGCTTAAGAGACAAGAATAAATGAGTCTGAGAATAAAGCAATGGAAGGAAAAAGATAGCAGTATAACTAACAGCCTTACAAGGTACATCAGGTGATGTCCACCAGCAGGTATCAAAAAGGGAAAATGCGGGGCTCCTGGGTGGCTCAGTCAGTTAAGTGTCTGACTTTGGCTCAGGTCATGATCTCACGGTTTGTGAGTTTGAGCCCCATGTCTGGCTCTGTGCTGACAGCCCAGAGCCTGGAGCCTGCTTCAGATTCTGTGTCTCCCTCTCTCTCTGCCCTTCTCCCACTCCCACTCCGTCTCTGTCATTCTCAAAAATAAATAAACATTAAAAAAATTTTTTTAAAGAGAAAGATAGTCTATCCTGCTGAAACTAATTAGGTCACACATGACTGGTGAATTGGGGAATTATGTCATTATAAGATGGAAATTGTGATGATTTATACATGTTTTGTCTTGCGCAGAGAAGCCAGAATAATGGAAGTAAAATTATGACATTCAGAAAAAGAGAAAAAGGCTCTCAACTGAGCTGTTGCACAGGTAGAAGTGTTTGGGGCTCTATTTAAGAAAATATTTTAATATTTATATATTCAATACTAATATTTATATATTATTTATATATTTAAATATTTAAGAAAATATTTTAAAAGTGTCTGTGCTCTGGACTCCCTCTGCCAGAGAACACCACAGCCTCACTTAGTTCATGCATCCTGGCAGGTTGCACTTTCTCCTTGGCTCAGGAATACTCTCTCATGCTCATTGTCTCGGCCCCAGCGAGCTCATACTTCCACTCTGTTGTTTCTGTGCATTTTTATCAAACCCTAAGTCGGTGCCAGCCCCACTGTGCATTCTGACTGTCCACACTGTCCAAGTTATTTTTCAAGGCAAAATTTTGCTTGTATTGTTAATTCTCTGGTTACAAAGTTGTCTAGCCTCTGAAGGGTCTGTTGCTCTGTCTCTAGTCCTATATTCCCCATACGTCCTGTTATTTTTAATGAGAGGTTTAGTGAGAACAGGAAGTTTATTCAGGAATGTACATATCATAACAGAAACTTCTGAAACTAGAAGAGCCAAACCAGGAAGCAATTTTAGTGGTTAAGAGATGAAAGAGTGAAGGAATAGACTAGGATGTTAAAGAGAAAGAATGGGGACAGCGATAAATTTGGAAGATATGGTAAAGGGGGGAAATATCTCCTAAGTCTTAATCGATTGTATGTGAAAAAGATATAAAAGTAAAAGAAGACTTCAAGAATAATAAAACCCAATAAAATAAAGAAGAAACTTGAAAATGGAAAAACAGATACAGGCATTTGCTTATTTTTTTATACTTTATTGTACTTTACAGATTCTGCATTTTTTTACAAATAGGAGGTTTATGGCAATCCTTTGTTAGGAAGTTTTTCCATTTTGTGTCTCTGTGTCACAGTTTGGTAATTCTCATAATACTTCAAACTTGTTCATTATTATCATGTTTATTATGGTGACCTGTGGTCAGTGACCTTTGATATTACTGTTGTAATTGTTTTGGGGTGCTATAAACTGTGTCCCTATTAGAGGCGAAACTTAATAAATATTGTGCGTGTTCTGACTGCTCCACCAACCAGCTGTTTCCCTCTCTTTCTCTCTCTCGTTCTCTCTCTCTCTCTCTCCTCTCAGGCCTGCCTATTCCCAAAGACATAACAATATTGAAATTAGTCCAATTAATAACCCTACAATGGCCAAAGAGTTCAAGTGAAAGTTGCATATCTCTCACTTTTTTATTGTTTAAATGTTTATTTATTTAGTTGGAGAGAGCATGATCTGGGGAGGGAAAAAGAGAGAAGAAGAGAGAGAATCCCAAGTAGGCTCCATACTGTCAGCACAGAGCTGGACGCCCAGCTGAATCTCATGAGATAATGACCTGAGCCCAAATCAAGAGTCAGACGCTTAATCAACTGAACCACCCACATGCACTGCATGTCTTTCACTTTAAGCCAAAAGCTAGAAATGATTAAACTTAGTGAAGAAGGCATGTCAAAGGCTGAGACAGGCTGAAAGCTAGGCCTCTTGCATCAAACACCCAAGTTGTGAACACAAAGGAAAATTTCTTGAAGGAAATAAAAATGGCTACTTCAGTAAACACACAAATGATAAGGAAACAAAACAGCCTTATTGTTGATATAGAATAAGTTTTAGTGGTCTGGATAGAAGATTAAACAAGTCACAACGTTCCCTTAAGTCAATGCAAGACCCTACCTCTCTTCAATTCTGGAAGGTTACAAGAGGTGAGGAAGCTGCATGAGATAAGGTTGAAGCTAACAGAGATTTATTCATGAGGTTTAAGGAAAGAAGTTGTCACGATAACATCAAAGTGCAAGGTGACAAAGTAGATACTGATATAGAAACTGCGCCAAGTTATCCGGAAGAACTAAGATAATTAATGAAGGCTGCTTCACTAAACAAACAGATTTTCAGTGTACATGAAACAGCCTTCTATCAGAGAAAGATCCTAAGACTTCCATAGTTAAAGAGAAGTCAATGCCTGGCTTCAAATCTTCAAAGGACAGGCTGACTCTCTTGTTACAGACTTAATGCAGCTTGTGACTTTCAGTTGAAGCCAATCCTCATATACCATTCTGAAAAATCCTAGGAACCTTAAGAATTATTATAGATCTACTCTTCCTGTGCTCTAGAAATGGAACAATAAAGCCTGGATGACAGTACATGTTTACAGCATACTTTACAGAATATTTTAAGTCCACTGTCAAGAAGTACTGCTCAAAAAAAATATTTCTTTTAAAATATTACTGTTCATTGACAGTATATCTGGCTCCCCAAGAGCTCTGAAGACACAACAAGATTAATGTTGTTTTCAGGGGTCCTGGGTGGCTCGGTTAAGCATCCAACTTCAGCTCGGGGCATGATATCGCAGTTTGTGAGTTCAAGCCCCCACATTGGGCTCTGTGCTGACAGCTCGAAGCCTGGAGCCTGCTTTGGATTCTGTGTCTCCCTCTTTCTCTGTCCCTCCCCTACTCGTGCTTTGTGCCTCTTTCTGTCTTTCAAAAATAAGTAAACATTAAAAAAAAAAGATTAATGTTGTTTTCATGCCTATTTAACATAACACCCATTCTGCAACCCATGGGCCAAAGACTAATTTTGACTTTCAGGTATTACTTTTTTAAGAAATACATTTGGTAAGGTTATAGCTGCCATAAATAGTGATTCCTCTGCTGGATCTGGGTGAAGTAAATTAAAGATATTCTGGGAAGAATTTACCATTCTAGATGCCTTTAAGAACATTCAGGAATATTGGCAGTAAATGGAATTTGGAAGAAATTGATACCAACACCCATGGATGACTTTAGGGTGTGAGACTTCAATAGAGGAATCATATCAGATGTGATGGAAATAACAAGAGAACAAGAATTAAAAGTGGAGCCTGAAGATGTGACTGAATTGCTGTAATCTCATGATAAAACTCTAATGGATAAGAAATTGCTTCTTATGGATGAGCAAAGAAAGTAGTTTCTTGAGAAGGAATCTCCTGGTGAAGATGTTGTGAAGATTGTTGTAATGACAAGGGATTAGAATATTATATAAATTTAGTTGATAAAAAAGTGACAGAGTTTGAAAGGATTGATCCCAATTTGAAAGAAGTTCTATTGTGGATAAAATGCTATCAAACAGCATCACATGCTATAGAGAAATCATTCATGAAAGGAATAGTCCATCTATGTGTCAAACTTAATTGTTATCTTATTTTAAGAAATTGCCTCAGACACCTCAACCTTCAGCAACCACTACCCTCATCAGTAATCAGCCATCAACATTGAGGAAAGAACCCCCCACCGACCAGCAAAAAGATTATAACTCACTGAAAGCTCAGATGATGATTAGCAAGTTTTAGCAATACAGTATTTTTAGATTATGGTAGATACATTTGTTTTTTTAGAATGTTATTGCATACATACAAAATATGTTTCAGGAATGAATAAAAAATTAAGAATTTCACAGACAGAAAATCTGAGGGAATTTGCCATCAGTAGATTTACATTTAAAAAAAAATGGCTAATGGAAGTTCCTAAAACATAAAAGGAATAATAAAAAATAATCTTAGAAAACCAGGAAGGAATAAAGAATAAAACTATGAATAAATATACTTTCCTTCTCCTCTTGAGTTTCTAAGTTATGTTTGGAACTTAAGCAAAAACATTATCTAATGTTGTTCTCAATGTATGTAGAGGAAATATTGAAATTTATATTTATCATATTATCATTATAAATGGAGAAGGGTAAAGAGACTTAAGGGGAAGTAAGTTTTCTATTCTACTTACATTCAAACCAGTAAAATCTCAACACCAGTAGACTGTGATAAGTTATGTGTATACAACTTAGAAGAACTACAGAACCTTTTCCACAGAGATAGACTAGTCAAAAACACTAATAGAGCATGGAGGAGGGTACTTTTTGGGATGAGCACTGGCTGTTATATGGAATCCAACTTGACAATAAACTATGAAAGAAGAAAAAACAAAAACACTAATAGTTAAATCAAAATGGAATTCTTAAAAAAGCCACAGTATGATTCTATTTATTTAACACTCATGGAATTACAAAATTATAGAGATGGAAAACTGATTAATGATCGGTAGATATTAGTGATGAAAGAGTGATAGAGGATTGACATCCACTATAGCAGCTGCTTTCTAGATATGTCTCCAGAGGCAAGGGAAACAAAAGCAAAAATAAACTATTGGGACCTCATCAAAATAAAAAGCTACTGTACAACAAAGGAAATAACCCACAAACCAAAATTCAACTTCCAGAATGGGAGAAGATATTTGCAAATGACATATCTGATAAAGGGTTAGTGTCTAAAATATATAAAGAACTTATAAAACCCAACACAAAAATGAATAACCCAATTAAAAATGGGCATGAATAGACATTTTTCCAAAGAAGATATACAGATGGCCAATAGTCACATGAAAAGATGCTCAACATCACTCATCATCAGGGAAACTACTCATTGTAGTTTTGATTTGAGTATCACCTCACACCTGTCACAATGACTAAAATCAGTAATACAAGAAAGAACAGATGCTGGGGAGGATGTAGAAAAAGGGGAACCCTCTTGCACTGTTGGTGGAAATGTAAACTGGTGCAGCCACTCTGGAAAACCATATGGAGTTTCCTCAAAAAGTTAAAAATAGAACTGCCCTACAATACAACAACTGCTCTACTAAGTATTTACCCAAAGTTTACAAAAGTACTAATTCAAAGGGGTATACGTTCCCCTAATAGCAACATTATCTATAATAGCCAAATCATGGAAACATCCCAAATGTCCCTCGACTAGTGAATGGATAAAGAAGATGTGGTATACATACATACATACATACATATATACAATGGAATATTACTTGGCCATAAAAAAGAATGAAATTTTGCCATTTGTAATGACATTGATGGAGCTAGAGAGTATTATGCTAAGCAAAATAAGTCAGTCAGAGAAAGACAAATACCATATGATTTCACTCAGATGTGGCATTTAAGAAACAAAACAAATGAACAAAGGGAGAAAAGAGAGAGGGAAGCAAACCAAGAAATACTCTTAACAATAGAGAACAAACTGATGGTTACCAGAAAGGAGGTGGGTGGGAGAATGGGTTAAATAGGTGATGAGGATTAAGGATTATGCTTGTAATGATGAGCTTGGGGTGTGACATGAGACTCTCGAATCACTATATTGTACACTGGAAACTAATATTGCACTATATGCTAAATAACTGGAATTTTTAATAAAAAGATAAAAAAGAAAGCAATAAAGAAGTAAGTGTTATTATAAAAGAGATCTTTGTGGTGATGGAAGAGTTCTCAGCTGGAGTGATGGTTACACAACTCTGCACATGTAAAAACATGCCATAGAACTAGAAGCACACATTGTACCAATGTCAACTTCCCAGCTTTTCTATTGTACTATAGGATGTGAGATGTAACATTTGGGGGAAACGAGGTGAAGAATACATGAGACCCCTCTGTCAACCTCTGTGAATTATAATGATTTCAAAATAAAAAGTGAACAAAAAATTACACAGCATACTATTGGTCAAACCACGTACCTGGCATGCATCTCTTTTTCCTTTCAAGGAGCCAGCACACAACATTCTAGGAGTGATGGCACCATTGTAAGATTGGGGTTCATTACAGGTTTTAGTGTCTATTAGATCCACCTGTACTTGCCGAAGATGATTTTGACCACTACCTAAAGGGAAAAAAGTCTTTATGTTTGTAGATATTCATATAATCTATAAACTTTGAGAAAATCTTTCATAATTGTTGGATAAAATGGCAATTTAGGATACATATCTTTTCAGGTACAGTAATATTTGGGAAAAGAACGATTTCCTAAATACTTTAAATAAAAAGTTAGGTACTTCTGAGAGAACCTCATGTTGTTTAAGTGACTTCTTTCCCATTGTGAAACATAGAATGTAATTTTGTAGAGAGAATGGTGGCTTTATGATTCTCTCATCTTAAGAATTAAGTATGTTAATGATTCCTAATCTCTTATGCAGTTACATCTTTAGTAAAAAAATTAAGACATATTTACTATTTCAGACACCTTACCAAGCACCATCACTATAGTAGTAATGAGCCACTTGATGGTAACCTAAAGCAATGAAGGAATCTTGTGTCTTATAAATGACAATTTACAAATAGGACCTGACTTACTCAGGTCCATAGAACTAATGCACCAGCATATTTTGGCATAATGGCATTCCATTCTTTAAATGCCTTAGAATACCAAATTGGGTTACTATGGTTTAATTTGTCTTCAGATGCTCACCATCATTTTCCAGTGCTCCAAATCCCGTCACAAATATCTCATCGCCTGGGTGGAACTCATGAGATGCATCAGGGAGACAAATCCTGTGTACGGCATTTGTGTAGGGAACCGGGCTAGAAAGTTCTACAACTGAAATGTCATAGTCATGTGATGGATACTTATATTTTTCATGGACAAATATCCTTCGAAGGCCTTGCTTCATCTTTGGAGACTTAATTGTTACTCCAAAAGAAGCAGTCCATCTGGTTGGGTCCTTATACCTGAGGAAAAAGTATAAAGAGTAAATTCCACTTTACCACCCTACCAGTGTAAGGACTTAGATTACACATTTTAGGCTGCTTGTGTCAACATAAGTTTTCTTATTAATATTACAATTGCTGGGCACCTGGATGGCTCAGTCGGTTAAGCATCCAACTTCAGCTCAGGTCATAATTTTGTAGTTCATGGGTTCAAGCCCCACTTCAGGCTGTTTGATGACAGCTCAGAACCTGGAGCCTGCTTCGGATTCTGTGTCTCCTTCTTTCTCTGCCCCTCCCCCGCTTGCACTCTGTCTCTGTCTCTCTGTCTCTCTGCCCCTCTCTCTCTCAAAGTTAAATAAAAAACCTTTAAAAAAATAAAAATAAAGTTACAGTTTCTGTGTATAAAAATAAACTCTTTTCAACCTGAGAATCAGGCTCAGGAGTAAGATCTGGTAGAAATGCCACAGTGGCATGGTTTTTAGGAAATACATGCCACTCTGCATCTGAGTCGCTTACTCCAGATCCTAGGGTCTTTTGATATTTCTAGCAATAAGTGACTCCAAGAGACATACAGAAAGCGTATTTTGTACAGAATGCAGGAACTAAATGTATTCCATGTACCACCTTCTCTACCCACAAACATATACATTTCTCTGAAAACTCAAAAGGCTACACATAGATTTAACAAAACATTACTATCCTGTATACAAAGGCATTTTTCATTGAGTTGTAAGGTCTTCATTCCTTGGAATACTTATTCAGTTGTATAATTTGTTACTACCAAATTTCTTCATACTTAATTATTTCTTGCCTTGTAGAATTTCCCCCACTGAGGTCAAATCTGCAATCCACCCAGCCCCCATCCCTGATAGATACACAGCAGGGACCTATCGCCTTTTGACATCAGGCTCACAGTCCAAAGATGCTTTTAAAATTTCTTTAAAACACCTACTTGCTTTGACAAATTATTATTATTTCTTTATCAGTGGATTATTTCTCTACATGTACTTTGACGCCATTTCCATTTCCAGACCATTAAACCTCTTACTAAGGTTTATGAGCATCCCACTCTTTGTGCTGCGTATGTTATCTTCATTTTAAATGCATCTGGTTCAAACTTCGCAAAGTATTTCTTTCCTGCCAAACACCAGTGCACTTTGCTTACCCCCAGTCATTCACAAGTTTCAGGACTTACGTTCTAAAGCAGTGAGCGGCACTCACAAGCCACGTGCTATTAATTAAAGTTGCTCCACAGCGATGCATCCCATCCCACTGCAGGCTAGCTTGCCACGGCCATTCGCCCTCCTCCACCGGTGTCCCGCCAACGATCCTGAGACTCTGTCTTGAAGTTTTACTCCTTCGTGTCCCACAGCCTGCCAAAGAGAGACAAGGCCTTACTTAGCAGTTACTTCTAAGTATCAAATTGTGTTACTATCTCAATTTTTTTCATACTTTGTGCTCCAAACATTTTCTCTTGTCCTTACTTTTCCTTGAACTATAGTGGTTCATTAATTTAACAACTATTCATCTTGTAAGATTAAGTCAGTCATTACCTTCTCTAGGATGCCTTCTCTAACAATTCCTCTGCCTCCAAACTGGATTAGTTATGGCTTTTTTCATACTTCTACCATCATCACCATCTCTCTCTATGTGTGTGTATATATATATACATATATATGTATATATGTCTGTGTATATATACATGAATATATGCTAGCATACTTACCAGTACTAATTATATATATAATTAGTTATCATATATACACTAATTATACATATTATTTATATATAAACATTGTTTATAACAGGGTTTATTATATATACTAGTTATATATATATAGATACACTAATGATATATACACTAATTTTATACATATACATGTATAATATTATATATGTGTATATATATTATTTATACAAGGTTTTCTCAGCCTTGGCTTTATTGATGTTTTTGAGATGCATAATTCATCATTGTAGAAGGCTATCCTATGCATGATCCGATGTTCAGAAGAATACCTGGCCTTTACATATTAGATACCAGTAGCATCCCCCCCCACACAACCATGATATCCAAAGTCACAGTAGGGCATGATCCCATGGGGGTCAAAATTGCTCTTGCCTGAGACCTATTGCTTGAGAATTATGTGTTCATGCATTAATCTCATACATCTAGTCTCATTAGAGTAAGAGCTGCTTTATGCAGGGTTTATATTCCATCCATTTTATATTTCTGTTACTTAATACACCACTAGCACACAATAGTCTGACAATAAATATTGGTGGCAAGAATACATGCCATTTGCATAACAGGATTATTCTTTGGCTTCATGTTTAATCAAGTTTGTGAACTAAATGATAGTCTAAGCTGGTAAGTAGCACATTTCCTTCCATAGTTTAAGATAAATATATTTTGTACTAACTCCATAATTATCAAATATATCCTCTAAATCATGGTGGGGTACTCTGCTATAGGGGAAGGGAAATACTAGGCCTAGAGTCAGTACTTTTAAAATATAAGCGGGGTGTTGGGGTGGCTCAGTTAGTTAAGCGTCCAACTCTGGATTTCAGCTCAGGTCATGATCTCACAGTTTGTGAGTGTGGGCCCCATGTCTGGCTCTGTGTTGACATCATGGAGCCTGCTTGGGATTTTCTTTCTCTCTCTCTCTCTCTCTCTCTCCCTCCCTCCCTCCCTCCCTCCTTCTTTGCCCCTCCCCTGCTCATGCTCTCTCTTTCCCTCAAAATAAATAAACTTTAAAAAAATACTATCTGAATCCTCAGTAATTTTATCAATATATACGCAACTTCATAGTTGCCTGAAATTTCCATAGTATGGGATTAACAATCATCATGAAGATTTTCTTTAGTGTAGAGTAACAAGTTTCTGCCTATAGCTGAAAAAGGCTAACATGCTGTTTACTTTTATATAATCTTTAGAAAACATTTGTGAGAGTATATTGTAGATATCTGCAGTCAGAACATTGAATCTTTTTTCCCCTTCTTTAACAACTGTACAATTCACTTCCACTATACCTTTGCCACAGGCACCCACATATCCACTCCAAAGTTCTTCCATTTTTTTTGCTCTTTAGTAATAAAATGTGTTTCAAAGATAAGATAAAGCACCATGAGCTGTGCACAGATAAACCAAACTTTATTCTGACCCTATAGCATCACACAAAGTAAGCCTAAATGATCCAGTGTTAACTTTTTACATTCAGGTAATGCAATTTTAAGAAATATATTACACTTACAACTGTTCAGAAAGTTGTCTGTTTCTGTCTTGTTGATTTCTGAAATACACAGAAATGGTGAATAGAACAAGGCCATCAGAATTTCATAATGCCTCTGAGTGCTTCAAATAGGAAAGGCTGGTTAATTCTGTTATAAGACAGAACCTCTGGATTGTTAAAAAAAAAAAAAAAGAAAGAAACAATAAAAGCAACACAGTTAGTTTAACATATGCAAAACATGTTCATTGCCTTTGGGAAAAAGGAAATCTGAACAGTGAACCTTAGTTTTTAAACTTTAGTCTAGATAACAGTCACAGAGAGAGCATCTTTATACTGTCAGTTCCTGTTCCTCTTCCCAGTAATTCTGATTCAGTAGTTTTATGATGAAACCCAGGAATCTGAGTTTCATACCAGAAAATAAGAATATTCCCCTTCTGTGGAACCATAGTTTTGATTCCTCAAATGCAATGATATTTTTACTGACCATTATTTCAGATTTTTTCCCCACTAAATTCATAGGCATAGTCCCATTTGTATAACATATGTGAATGGCAGGTCCATAAATCCATCCTCACTCTCATTTAAAAACATTATCCCTTTCTAATTTTTCTTTCTGCTGAAATTTAGAAAGACAATTTGCCCTCCTTTCAACTTTAGCCCATGGTTCCTTAGCTTATTTACTTCTCAACAATCAGGCCCTAACCCTGCCAACCAACAGATACATAAAACTTCATGCACTCAAATGTCCTGTTTCAGTAGATTTCCAATGACCAAAATTATTCTCTTTGAACATAGCAGAACAGGTGTTCTAAATGCAAAAATGTTAATGTTAATTTTTCTTTTAGTATTTAATAGTATGGATATGTCAGAAATCTATATTCTAGAAAGCTTCTTTCTGACTTTCTCCATTCTGGCCTATTTTGGGGGGAATGGCTCAAATAAAGAAGTGACTATTGAGGCGCCTGGGTGGCTCAGTTGGTTGAGCGCCCAACTTCGGCTCAGGTCATGATCTCACTGCTGTGGATTCGAGTCCTGCATCGGTCTCTGTGCTGACAGCTCAGAGCCTGGAGCCTCCTTCAGATTCTGTGTCTCCCTCTCTGTCTGCCCCTTCCCTGCTCATACTCTGTCTCTGTCTCTCAAAAAACTAAAATAAATGTTAAAAGAAAAAAAGAATCAACTATTTATTCCCTGTAAATATTAAATATCATCACCACTGATCTCCCTGTTTCAAATAACCTGTTCTTCTCTATCTCAAAATCTTCCTAGAGAAATTTCTGGCTTTCCTCTTGATACTACTTAAAGGGCCATCTTTTTTTTTTTTTTTTTTNCGTGAGCAGGGGAGGGTCAGAGAGAGAGGGAGTCACAGACTGAAACAGGCTCCAGGCTCTGAGCTGGCAGTCAGCACAGAGCCCGACGCGGGGCTCGAACCCACGAACCGCGAGATCATGACCTAAGCGAAAGTCGGACGCTTAACCGACTAAGCCACCCAGGTGCCCCTTAAAGGGCCATCTTAATGGGTGTACATCTACATTGGACCCTGCACTCAGTATGATCTTGCACTTGGTTTAATGTTCACCATCTTGAAATTCTTAATATTTTTTATTTTATAACTTGTGCTTTAAAAGTGAAGTCTAGGGGCACCTGGGTGGCTCAGGTGGTTAAGCATCCAACTCTTGGTTTAGGCTCAGGTCATGACCTCACTATTTGTGAGATCAAGCCCAGCATCAGGCTCTGCACTGACAGCACACAGCCTGTTTGGGATTCTCTCTCTCTCTCTCTCTCTCTCTCTCTCTCTGCCCCTCCCCCATCTCTCAAAATAAACAAATAAACTTAAAAATAAAAATCAATAAAAGTGAAGCCTGAAGAACAATGGGGCATGACATGTGCAGAGGAGATACACACAATATATGTGTCCATGGGTTCTTGGCACCCCATTCACATATATCATTTGTGATACCCAATGAACTCAGAATTCCAGTGGATCCACACGTTCAGCAGACTCAAAATGAGTACAAGACAAGTGTGTGATGCTTACCACTAAGGAACCAGGAAGCAGTGACAGTCCCAGGAGGCCATGTTTTCTGTTTAAGGCAGGACTTGCTTAGAACATAGAAAGAAGGCAATAGCATTCTACTAGACACAAACCTCCCAAGGCCCCTATTATATTCTTTCTTCTTCCCATTACCTTTCTATATTAGCCAACAGCTTCTGCTGAAGGTAATGACATAACAGAGCTTTTCAGGTCTTTCTTACTTAAGCTGAAGGTAGAGAACATTGGTAAGATGTGCACACATCAAGAAGGGAAAAAGCTGTCAAGCTAGCCTTGTATAGTGTTTCTATTGATCTGATTAGAGCCAAATTCATGCATGTGTGAGCTATGAAATACTCTTGTATAATTTTCTTTTTTTTTTTAAATAGTTTATTGTCAAATTAGTTTCCACATAACACTCAGTGCTCATCCCCAAAGTGCCCTCCTCCATGCCCACCCCCCCCTCCCCCCCACATCCATCAGTCCTCAGTTTTTGTCAGCATTCAAGAGTCTCTCATGGTTTGCCTCTCTCCCTTTCCCCCACCATTTCCGCCCTTCTTCTCCCCTTTGTTCCTCCGTCAAGTTCCTCCTAATCCTCCTATACGTGCAAACATATGATATTTGTCCTTCTCTGCCTGACTTATTTCGCTCAGCATAACACCCTCAAGGTCCATCCATGTTGCTACACATGGCCAGATTTCATTCTTTCTCATTGCCATGTAGTATTCCATGGTATAGATAAACCACATCTTCTTGATCCATTCATCTGTTGATGGACACTTAGGCTCTTTCCATGTTTTAGCTATTGTGGAGAGTGCTGCTATAATTTTCATAATTCCACATACTTAAATGCTTTTACATTTACATTTGAAATTGATATTTTACAATATGAAAATGAACGATACAATGCAATGTAATAATTTAAAATTTATTTTTTTCACATAGAATGATGAGTTAAGAGAGATTACAGAAGAAAAAGCTTTATATGTTAATACTCTTAGTGATAATTTTTTGTTGTTCTATGAAAAGAGTCCACCGTTTTGCACTAGGCTCCATAAATTATGTGGCCGGTCCTAACTACCCAAGCCTCTCTTCCTAAGCAAGTAGGGTAGGTGACCATTAGGTCATGCTGCTAGTTAGGTCTATCAGCTTTTCTGTTAGCTCCTTATGTTCGTACTTTCTATTTGTTCTGTCTTCTCTATTTTCTAATGTTGCCATATACAATACTGTGTCCACTAGCCACATGTGCATAGTAGCTCTTGAAATGTGGCTAGTCTAAACTGAAACGTGCTTAAATACAAAATATACAATAGATTTTGAAGCCCTAGTACAAAAAAAAAAGAATATAAAATATCTCATGAATGATTTTTCTATTGACTTGTTGAAATAATAATACTTTGATATATTGGGTTAAATATCAAATTATTTAAATGAAGTTCACATGTTTACTATTGTTTTTTAAATGTGGATATTAGAAAATTTAAGATCATAGGGTTGGCTCACAAGGTCTTTTTATGCCTAGCATTGTTCTGTAGCATACAACTTAACTTTTAGTCAAACTTTTATTTCCACTGAGAATCGCCTATTCTTCTTCCATTCTGGTAATGAGGAAATACCCCTGAGTATTTCATTCCTCTATCCTCCACAAAAAAGCTCAGACTTTTTATATTAGTTGTAAAATATAAAAAAATAAATATAAACAAATTATAAATTTGTCATTGGTAAATGGTCTAAGGAAAGAAGCTATAGCAAGGTATATCAATGCAACTTGAAGGCAAATACGTGAATGGCATGAACCTTTCCATACATCATACTCTCCAAACATAAAATGAAAGCAACAAGAAGAAGAAGAATGTACAAATCCACTTTCTCCATGTATAACTGGATGCTAGAACTGAAGTGTAAGACCCAATACAGGAAAGGAACAGGGGCCCAAGGTTAGAGAGGTGCATAAGTATAGGTAGTATTAAAATTAAAATACTTCATTAGAACCAATCATATTCCAAAGAAATTTTCTGTTGGTGGCAAGACTCCATAATTAAAGGACATCCAAAACAGTTTTTAAAAATCAATGCCTAAGAGGGGCGCCTGGGTGGCTTAGTCGGTTAAACGTCCGACTTTCGCTTAGGTCATGATCTCGCTGTTCGTGGGTTCGAGCCCCGCGTCGGGCTCTGTGCTGACTGCCAGCTCAGAGCCTGGAGCCTATTTCAGAGTCTGTATCTCCCTCTCTCTCTGACCCTCCCCTGTTCATGCTGTCTCTCTCTCTCTCTCCTACAAATAAATAAAAATATATATATAAAAAAATCAGTGCCTAAGAGGGCACTTGGTGGGATGAGCACTGGGTATTACATGTGAGTGATGAATCACTAAATTCTATTCCTGAAATCATTATTACACTATATGTTACCAAACTTGGATTTAAAATAAATAAATAGATAGATAGATAGATAGATAGATAGATAGATAGATAGATATCAGTGCCTAAAACCATGAGAAACTCTTGAATGCTGACAAAAACTGAGGACTGATGGATGGGGGGGGAGGGGAGGATGGGCATGGAGGAGGACACTTGTGGGGATGAGCACTGAGTGTTATGTGGAAACTAATTTGACAATAAACTATTTGTAAAAAAATAAATAAATAAATAAAAAACAAGGCACAAGTAAAAAAAAAAATTAATTAATTAAAAAAAAAAATCAGTGCCTAAGACCAAAATTAACGTGGAGCTATTCTACATAAGAAAATTAAACTAAATAAGAGAAATAAACTTACTTTTAATTTCAACTGATTCTGGATCTAATTTAGGGGGTCCCACAGCTTCATGAAGCTTTTCAGCTAGAACACGTTGAATAATTTTATTGATGGCTTCAGGATCCTCAGTAGAGCGAAATCTAAAAATCAGCAGCATATGAGCCAACACTCCATGTTCCTCTGGACTGTGGACCAAAAAGAAAAAAAGAAAAATAGATTTTAAAGATATAGTTCAAAATTAAATTTATGGTAATATCACAATCTATTTTTTTCTTTATCATCCATTTAAAACACACACACAAAACAAATCCATAATGTAATTTAAAAGATCCCATTTGCTTCATTCTATATTCCTATTATTTTCCACATATAAAATTTCCAACTTAGCCTCCTTGAGAATAAGACAGTATGCTCATGGTCTCCCTTAATGCCAAATATCTAGTTATTAATATAAAAAGATACTCTCTTGTCAACCATTCAATACTATCAAATATAATGTATGGTCAATGTGAAATCAACTCTGGCTTTGGCTTTCAGGCTTAATTCCCAGTGGCTTAAAACCAATGAAATCTCCTAAGTAGCTTCATGCTTTCCTAAACAACTTCTAATCCTAGGGATAAAATAAGGTTTGACCAAATTGTCTTGACTACATATGATTATATTTTCAAGATAGGGCATTAATAAGCCTTAGTGTTGTTTGAATGAATTACTTCTTGGAATCATTCTTGACTTTCTCATTCTCTGTCAGTTACTCTACCACTTTTTTTTTCCACATACAATCAGTTCTCAAAGAAACTTACTCCTCACTATACAGTGTGTTGACTTCTCATATAAACTGTAAATGGAGATATAAGTTAGAACCTTATATTTAGAAGTTAGTTTTGTTTATCAGTTATACATTTGATGACCCATTTCTCTGATACAACACTCTCTTCAAATATAATTTTGTGTATGCAAACAGATTTATACAAATGTTTATCATAACCTTGTTTTTAAATCAGAAGAAATATGTAACAACCCAAGTGTCCATCACAAGGGCACTGGCTAAATCAACAATGACACATACTTGTAGTGTCTACACTAGTAGACTTCACAACCAGTTGTTAAGAAGATATGTTACTTCTACAAATGGAATTATTAGAGAGGGAGTTTCTGATTTCTATTTTATGTAATACTATGTTATTTGGATTTTATATAATTTTGTTTGTCTTTGTAATCTGAAAATACAAATAGGACTTTCATGAGATTATTTTTATGTATCTCACCCCCTTTCACTGACTCAGCAACACTGTACAACAGATACATATTCTTTCTTCTTTCTCTTAAACTATTCCTATGCTGGCTGACTAATAGAAACAAAAACAAACAAAGCTCTCTCTCTACCCCAGCTATTCAATTTAACTCTCACCTTCTTATCACAACAAACCTTCTTGAAAGGGTAAATTACACTGTGCCTCATATTTATTTCCTTGCAGTCTGCTTCTTCCCCTTCCATTCCACCGAGTCTTTTCTGTACACTAAATGACTTCTTTATTGGCATACCCAGTTAATTCTTTCCAGTCATATTACTTGGTCTCTCAGGAGCATTTGTCAATGCTGACCTTTCTATGCTTGAAAGTTTTTGCCTTTTGTATCAGTGGTGTCTTTCTCATGATATCTCTTTTTTTCTTTCTCCTTCCCTATTTCCTAGACTCCTATTTTTTCCCCATCTCCTTAAGTATTATTTTCTTCAGGCTTTCTTCATCATCATTTTTTCCTTGCATTATCCTTTTTCTGAAAATTTCTGTTTATATCCAGTCTCTAGTACTTTGATGGAGACTGAGCAAAGGCATATCTTCAACTCAGTTCCCTTTTCCTCCCCCTAAGTAAGACTCATATTTCAGGCTCAGGTAGTCCCCAGTATTTCAACTCAACATCTCTAAGACTAACTTCATCTTTTCTACAAACTTGCATTTCTTCTTACTGATTGCAGAAGAAATACTAATGAGCAGAAAGAGTACTAAGGTGAAGAGGTAAACCAATTGAAAAGTGATTTGGAAGGTAGAACTGGTAAAACGTGGTTATTCATAAAATGTGAGGGACCCAGGAAAGGGAGGAACGTAGGCTGATGTCCAGGTTTTCCGCTAGTGTGATCGGGTTTTACTTGAGCTCTAGAATTTTCTGTGGAACCTACCCATGGATGTGTGCATGAGCAGGCATACAGCTCCAGAAATCAGAAAACCAGTTTAGGTTGGAAAAGAAATTTGGATTTCAAGAGCATATAAAATCATATGGGTGCATGAAATCCCCGTGAGAAAGTGAAAATTTAACGACTGGAGAAGTAGATATAGATCCAAGAAAGAATAGTATTTCAAATGCCAGGGAATATAGACACCTCAGAGATGTCAGCCAAGTGATAGACTGAGAGGTAACTCTCAGTTTTTGTCATTTAAATAATACTGGCAACAGCTATCATTCTGTTTTTAAAAAATACAAATAATTTGTATTAAGACAATATATTATTTAAGATACTTAGACAGTATTTTGCTTAAAATGTTATGCCCTGAGCTTCTATTTATTGATGGCAGATGATCAGATCTGGAATTTTCTTTATTAAATATTTGGAGCAGAAGGGTAGAGAAGAAAAAAGTAAAGAAAATAGATAAAGAGGAGAATGAAGAGGTTAAGACCAACCTCATCTACTACACTATTTTACAGAGGGGACAATTGGTTATTAAACGAAGGGATATGGTTTTGGTTTCTATTTTTGTAATTATATTCTCAAAGAACAATGCAAGAATATAGCCACCAATAACACCTGTCCCTTGCATCACACTGCAAATGCATTCTTATGGATTTAGAGAATGAGTAAAACAAATTATAATCCATGATTTAGAACGGTTGTCAAATGAACATTGATTTAATTGCATTATATCATATCATTAACATTTCCAATAGTATTTATTACTGGCAAGTTAACAGCTTTAGTTTTAAATTGTATTCAGAAGTCAGCATTTCAGATCTACATACCTGAACCTGATAATGTGAGACTTGACAAACTCTTCCCTCAATGGAGACTTATGAAATGCATTTTTAACCTGTTCCAAAAATATTCAAAATATGTCAGCAAGAACAATTTTCTGCAACTCAATGTAAAGCTCTATGGAAAATTTAAAACCCAAACAAAGCCAAACAAGAAACATTAATCAACATTTCACAATGCACTCAACTTGAAGAAACTCCAAAAATCTTTGCTGGTATTCTACTCAGTGATTTCAACTGAACTCTGCCTTAGGAGTTATAGTATCTGGGAACCATAATAGTGAGGCCAAGAATAACATCTGCTGTGTACACTTAGAAAGAGACTAAAAAGGAATAAGTACACTGTTTTATGAAAAGGAAGAGTATATATTCACACCCTGAGATACAGACTTCTAGTGTAGGTAAACAAAGGAAATTGAATAATTCTGCCAACCGATGGCTGGATCATAGATATGAGTATATGACGATGTCCTGTCGTTCTTAAATCTTTTGAAGAGGTTGCCAAATATCCTGGCATTATGTGCACCCACTTCAGTACTCAAAATGCTCTTAAAAGGCCCATATGAACTAGGATACTTAGCCTGGTATGTTCTATAAAGTTTACTTTAATAAGATAGAAGAATGTATCTTAAGATATTTCTTACTACTATAATGAAAAATTCTAGCCAACTTAAAATTTTAAGTTAGAAGTCAAGATAAACATATCAAGTATTTCTTGGTTTCAGTGTGTGAATATTAACCACAGTTACTACAAGCTGGTGATTGACTGACAGAAACAATGAGCCTTTTTATTCTTTCATATCTTTTGTTGATGCCTCTGTCTTTGTGCCCAAGAGAAGTTACTTCACTTATATGACGGATCAGCAGAGTACAAGTGAGGTGTCTAATGACAACATTCACTTGGGTATTTCTATTTTTATTTATGGGCTTATATTAGTCAAATCATTTCAAAATTATTACTAATTTTAAGAGTGTTCAAGAGTCCTACCTATATTCCTTCATATGTGAATAAATCATCCTGGATCTTATAAAATTTATTTTAGTGAATGGCACAAAAAACAAGGCAAATAGTTGTATCCTTTCTTGACCTTCTTAGTTCCATTTTCTTTCCTTTATTATATAAATATATATATATATGTCTTAGAAGAGAGTGTATTTATATATTTTCCTGATTTGTTGTTTGTAAGTACAAATTCAAAAAGGCTTTGACCCCCTCCTTACCAATGTTTTTAAATCCTCAGGCTTCTAGTCTAGTAGGCAGTTTCTATGTGGGTAACTGCCGTTATGTTCTTACTCAGGATATTGGAAATGGAAGACAATTTTTAAATTATCTAGTCTAATGCCTTAATTTTCACAAAAGAAAATTTGCCCAGAATAAAAATTGGTAGTAGGTGATTCTAAAACTAAGTGTCCCAACTTCTAGTTCAGGATATTTTCCACCACATCATGCCACAAATCACCTCATAGACTGTCAAGAAAAGTCCAAACTATTCTCTATGTAATCTGATAATGATTAGAATCATCACCCAGGCTGTTGTTCTCTTGGCCTATACTGATAATTTTCCACTTTTTAAAATATTTGATTCATTTCTTTTTTTTATAATTATAGCGTGATTTTTATTTTTTTTCTTTTTTTACAAATAGTTTATTGCCAAATTAGTTTCCACATGACATTCAGTGCTCATCCCCACGAGTGTCCTCCTCCATATTTGATTCATTTCTGAGGCTGAATGTTGATGCCTTAAAGTTAGAGATGAGTATCCATGTATTTCCTATAGACTTATATACCAAAAACCAGCCCACAGTCAGATGTTTTTGGATACCAAAACACCATTCAAGTATGTGTCTAAGTAGTTTCAGTCTCGTGGTCTTTTGCTCAAGGTGTCTTCTATAGCATACAACAATCATATTTTGGGTCGCCCTCACATTCCCAGAATTTCTGAACTCTGCTGATCAAGATTGTAGATCTTGATGGAGAGTAAATGGGAGGGACATGAAGGAAAGGCTAACATTCACCTGCCTCGGCCCTGCAAGATGTGCTCTCCCAAACCATGTACTGTCAGTTTTGTTTTATAACCCTCAGGCAGGGCTGCTTCCCATTTTTTGAAGATACACAAGATCAGTTGAATGGATGTTTTGGAAGCTAGGTATCAAAACTTATGATATAAAATGATCGCAAATGCCCTAGAAATGGAGAAAAAAGTGCTTACCATTGATTCAATTTTCTGGCTCATTTCAGTGAAATTTTTAGAAGCCTCTTTTCCAAAGTCATCATATACTTTGTTACTTGTAAATGACAATGTGCTATAGTAATTGTAGGTCTTCTTTTGGTCTATGAGGAGAGAGGGAAAAAACCTGTCATAGTTTTAATCAGATGTGTATGAAGCATCATTATTTCCCTGTTTGGTGGTTGCTGGAAAGACAGACGAGGAGTGTCCTATCCCAGGTCGTCATCACCATCATCTTGCCCTGAGCTTCATAGTTATCTCAGAATAAAAGACAAGAACATTCATCATCATAAGATTTAGAGTGTAAAACCCATAAGAAATGCTTCATGTTCCTGTGGGCTGATTAGTCATGTGTTATCCATTTCTGAACTAGCCACAAGAGGCAGCAAGTCACACCATCAGAGCATATAAACAAGAATAGACTCAGAGTCAGGAAAGATTAAACATCACATGATTTCACTCATGTGTGGAATTTAAGAAACAAAACAGATGAACATAGGAGAAGGGAAGGAAAAATAAGATAAAAACAGAGAGGGCGGCAAACCATTAGAGACTCTTAAATACAGAGAACAAACTGAGGGTTGCTGAGAAGGTATTGAGTGAGGGGATGGGAAATGCGTGATGGGTATTAAGGAGGGCACTTGTGGGGATGAGCACTGGGTGTTATATGTAAGTGATGAATCACTAAATTCTACTCCTGAAACCACTATTAAACTAGAAGTTAACAAACTTGGATTTAACTTTTTTTTTTTAAAGAGTCAAAAAAATAAAGTGGACTCAGAAGTTTCCAAAGAGTAAATGTACTATTATATTCCAAAAGTAGATTTCTTCCAATTCAGGAGACTGCATATCAATTCTGGCCACAGGGACTAGAGGGTAAAAAAATGTGTTTGGGCTAAAGAAGGAAATGAGGGTAGGAATGAAAATGCTTGGTTTTCAGTCAAGGAGCTAGAGCTGCTATCTGGCATAACCTTTCAGGGATACTTGGTTTCACCTGGCTCCCTTGTCACTCCATTTATATTCTCCCACCAGCCACAAGGATTGTCCTGTTTCCTTAGCCATTGTCTACACTTTCTGCATCAGTTTAAGCAGCCCACATTCTGGGGTGGCTGAAAATTAATGCAGTATTCATCTACCTTTCTATACCTGAAGCAAGCACGGAAACTTAAGAAGATTTTTTCATTCAACAAATATTAATGCCAACTACCTTTTCTATGAAAGACTCTGTGTTGAGTATTTAAAATATAATGGTGATCAAGACAGTTGTGTGTGGTTATTGTAGGATAATGGAGTGTGCTTCACCCAATCTCAGTTTCTCTCCTCTTCTGCTCTCTTGCTTTTCATTCTTTCCTTCTTCACTTGAGCCCCAGAGGAAAGGGAAACTAACACTGAGCATGTGTGCCCCAAGCATATTCACATATCTCATTTAATTTACCATAATCCCCATGGGAAGGCAGTCTGTCCACATTTAACAGATAAAGACTACCGTCTCAGAAATGTAAGTAAATTGCCCAACTCTAACATGACATAGCCAGAAAAGACAGAACTGGATTTCAAGTCAAGCTCTAACTTTCAAAGCACAAACTTTCTTTACATTCTTTACTTTCTTTATTTTCCTACCACTTCTTGGAGTGGGAAAACCAAACCCATTCACTGAAACTGTAGAAGCTTCTCCTACATCAGAATTTGGGGGGAAAAAACTACTGGTAAATTTCAGAACATCCTAGCCATCCAAAGGACTTGGTTGGATTGACAAGGCTAGGGGACAGCTAGGGAATGGTCCATGATGCAAAAGACGATGGAGGTCAGCCTGAAAAGTCAGGACCTCCTGGAAATTAGACACCAAAGTGAGGTGCTAGAGAGTTTTTGCCTATTTCCCTCTTTCCTTACCTTCCTTTCAATGAATGGTCTTTCCCTGAAAGGCATGAGTGACCTGAAATGAAGACAGTCCCTGGAAATATACATAATCCCAAGTAAAGTTTATAATTTATAAAATTATTGAACATTGGGCCTAAATTGGGCCTAAGAATCTTCATTTCTACCAAGCTCCCATGTAATGCTACTGGTGGTGGTACTCAACCCCTCACTGAAAAGTAAGTATCTAGAGAGGAGAACTGACTTCTACATATCAGTCTTATTCTTCTTTAAATTATTGGATTGACTTTTTGATACTGCCATTTGTATAAACCAAATATGGTCTAATGCCAACAATTTCATATGCTTCAATCAAATGAACAATTTATCCATAGTCAATATTTTACTTTGCTCAAGAGACTCAAATAGGTCACTAAGCATCAAAATATATTCCCAATTGCCAGAATTATGTGGCATGTGTAGCTGTTGGAAAATATTATTGAGGAATATTAACAGAAAGTAATAAAAATAAGGATGAACACTAGTTTGCTGATAATTTTCTAACAAGTTCATAAATCTGTAACTTATAAGGATATTGCTCATAATAGAGTCACCTTCTGTCATACAATTTTCAAAAGAGCAGAAAGGCAGGCCCAAAGGCCACTGGACAGAAGCTGCTCACGCAATTCTATGCTGTCTTGGGCTTTATGCCAAAATGATGGGTTTTTTCAAGTCAAATTACCTCCATCTTAATCTGTCTGCTTCTGTGATTATTTGGCTTAGTTTAGTTATCTAGGTGTGCCAACTCCTCAGTGCTCATGTGCTATATCCACTCTGTCCTTTGCTTATATCTCCAAACAGAGGACAGGTCATACACGTAAGACAGTAACACATCACAACAATAGCTATTTATTCAGGTGTGCTGTGTGGGCAGTGGACGTTGGGTGTTCCATATTACTGTCTGCACTGATCATCCAAATAATAGGATCCAGGAACAGGTTACTGGAAAAATCTTGCCAGGTTTTCATTTTATGCATGTGAGTAAGATTTGTAAGCCTTATAATGCATGGCTTGGGAAGAAGCAAAGGGGAAATAGTAAGTAACATTTTCTTTCCCACTGAGGTGATAAGACATCTAGCATTACTAGGAATTCCATGTTAAGTCAGACAAACCAAAGAATGCCCCCATGAAGATATCATACATATGATTCACTAATCTTTTTTTTTTTAAGTTTATTTATTTTGAGAGAGACAGAGACAGCATGAGCAGAGGAAGGGCAGAGAGAGAGAGAGGGAGAAAGAGAATCCTAAACAGGCTCTGCACCATCAGCACAGAGCCCATCCCAGGGCTCAAACTCACAAACCATAAGATCATGACTGGAGCTGAAACCAAGAGTCAGATACTTGACAGACTGAGCCACCCAGGAGCCCCTCACTAATCTTTATCATTCAGTATTCATTAAATATTAAGCATTTAATATGTGTCAGGATTCTGCTAAGTTCTGGGAATACAAAAGTGAACCAAACATAGTGCTAGGTATCTGTAGAGAGAAATAATGATACTTTTAATGAGACTCAATATATTCATAACAGAACTATAGAATTATAAAGTTATTTTTTCTGTTCTTTTTTTTTTTATTAAAAACATGCTCCAGAGAAATCATCAAAATATGGATACTCCAAATTTAAGGATTTGTGTGTGGGAAAATTCTACCAAAACAAGTATTTACTTTAAATATTTATACATTAAACTACCCAGAAATGATCCAGCTTGTTGTAGAAATTGAGATTGGATTTGAGATTGGAACTGAGATTATGTCTGTTGGTGGAAGAAGATAACCAATTTACAGATCATACTGTGGTAGGGTCCCCTCCCTAAGGAAAGAAAAAACAAAAACCCTCAAGGCAACCTGGCTATTCATGTACTTGACAACATCCCTCCCAACCTTGTAACATGAGACCACTTAATCAGACGACATGTTTGTATGTTACCATATGTGGGAGACAAGTAAAAAATATACTGAAAACTATGCCACATGGCATTCGTGGCTCAGTTCTTTGGGTACGAACCCAACTGAGGGGGGCTGGCAGGAATAAAGTTACTTCCTGGAAAGGAAAGCCTCGGTGTCATGACTCTCTGTGTGAGAATCCTGCTTACAATACTGTCTCTTTTACAGGAAAGCAACTTGTGCAAATTTCCAATTAAATTAGAATCAAGTGATTAGCTTCTTTGTTCACAGTGTCTTGACATCAAAGAATTAGCCAGTCACTAAGGGAGGTATTAAGCCAATAGGTCATAGTGGAGTCAGGCAATTACAACCCTGGGCAAAGGAGAGGGAAACTTCAGAAAGGTTGTTATACCCTGGAAGAATAGTCCTGAAGCACCATGGTGGCCTTTCTAATAACATAGCACACTCATGGTTCTTCTAGCTGTGAGGCACCTGATTACCAGAGTGAGCCTCTTTTTAATTAACCTTCTCAGCATATCCTATTCTCTTTAATCACATGTAAATCTCCCAAGAGGAGATTTAAAATAACAGAAATAGGCACTTATTCAACAATATATCATTATGAGCATTTATTTCTAGCTTACTCATACAGAATAGAGCCTACTTCTCTCTGATCCTTGATTATGTAATTAATTTATTGAGCTCTCAGGATTTCAATAAGTTGGAATGATTTTAAATCAAGGTGATTGCCCTATGTCTTCAAACAACTCAACACAGTGGACTCAAGCTCTCCTATGGTCTTCCCTATTTAATATTTGCTTATCGCTTATTAACGAATATCAAAAACTAGCATGCTATTCCCAGGAGGAAGCATTGCTACATCAAAGATAGATGAAAGAATCCTTCTTGGCTTGTGAGGATTAAGTAAGAGACAGGTAGGTAAAGAATTCTTTGTACCAGCTATACAAGTGAGTTGTAGTCATGAATGAATAGGCCTAAGGCAAATCAAAACTGGACTGCACATGAGGAAATATTTGATTTGGGGTAAATCACATGATGCCAGGGCAGCCCATACTTACTGTATCTCACGTAATGAACAATAAGTCCAATGCACACTGCCAGGACAATCAGGGATATAAAGGTGATGAGGCCAATAACCCAGGGCTGCAAACAAGCTCTCTTCCTGACCTTCGCCACAGCTGGCCTGAGAAAGAAAGCAAATAAATGGGTTATATCACAGTGTGTGCCACGCCCGCTCCTTAGTTAAAGCAGACATTTCTGGGGAATTCAGGACACTCGTGTGGTAGAGTACTATTTTGGTTTAGAACATGTCCCAATCCTGGCCTCTGGTTGCCTGACCTTAGGCAAGTAATTTGACATCTCTGTGCCTGTTTCCTCACCCATAATGTGAAGATGACAATGATAGTACATATCTCATTGGACTGTTGTAAGGATTATATGAATTGCTATATATAAAGTGCCTACCACAGTGCCTGGCATGTAGAAAGTGCTATCTAACTGTTGGCATGTAGAAAGTGCTATCTAAGTGTTAGCTATCATTTACTGAGCTGGCTAGGTTCAAAATACTGAGTTAGGTACTGTAGGGACTATGAAAATGTTTAAAGCATATTTCTACCACTCTAGAATCTTAAATGGCCTATGAAACATATTACAGCTTGATCTATACTAATTCAGATAGAATTTCTTTCTTTTTTTTTTTAATATTTTTATTTATTTCTAGGAGAGAGAGAGAGAGAGAAAAAGAGAGAAAAGGAGAGAAACAGAGAGAGAGGGAGTCACAGACTGAAACAGGCTCCAGGCTCTGAGCTGGCAGTCAGCACAGAGCCCGACGCGGGGCTCGAACCCACGAACCGTGAGATCATGACCTAAGCGAAAGTCGGACGCTTAACCGACTAAGTCACCCAGGCACCCCTAGAATTTCTAATTCTATTCTCCTTCCATTTTTCTAATTTATTTCCAAACAAACTTTGAGGATACACATGAAAGATACTTAGAACTCTCTTCCAAAGAACCTGTTTGACTCTAAACTTCAGTAATCCTACAAGAAATCCCTTGTGTATAAGATTCCCTCAACCTCTCCCATCTTTTCTTCCTTCAGAAAAATGTTTGTCAACCAGGTTTTTGTTTAACCATAGTTGCTATTCCCTTGTGTTATAAAGTTGCTAAGCAAACTCCAAAGCTGGAGAAGATAAAATAATAAGTTAGAGTTGGCTAAGGAGTTTGAATATGATGCTGTTATTTTAAATTTCTTGAGATAGTGGTAGAATCATTGGCATGAGTGCCTGTCTCCAGAGCACTGTCTGGTACGTGAGGACTGGCGACAAAGTGTGGTGCTATCCTGGAGGAACACAGGAAGTTCAATCAGAATAAGGAGGATTCTGAGTCCATCTCTTTCCTTAGCAGCTATGCTACTTGGACAAATCATTTAAACTCTGAACTAATTTCCCCATTCATCAATAAGGGACAAGGTAGCTATTCTATCTAAAGCACGTGATTGATTGTAGAATCCTGCATGATATCATGAATGTGAAAACTTCTTGCAAACTGGAAACCATTTTGCAATAAATAATTTTTGCTTACAGGAATCAAGGGAACTCTGTTTCCAGTTATGTAGGAAGAGGAAGTGATATCATTTTGGTCCCTATCATACTTCATCACACCCTGGCTCTGCCTCGATGTTTTATTCTGTGGGAACATTGTCACAGAAGTCAATACTGTCATCATGGCTACATCTGCCCCTCCTGAAGACACTGAGATATAGGGAAAGGCTCCAGAGATTCTATTTGGTCTCCTCCCTTGTTCCTGTGACTTTCCTCTGGGACTATAGTCAAGGAAACTTCATCTTCCTCTCCCCAGTCTCTTCAATCTTCAGTTCTCCCTTGAGTAATATCCAAACATCTGATCCTAGAACAGCAATTACTGCAATATAAAAAGACTGCGCCATGAGGAGGTTGTTATTTTTTATGTGCAAGTGTACCTAAACCTAAAAACTGATCCCTGTACCTTCATTTCTGAATGCTTGCTATTCATCTGTTGCAGAAGAAAGGAGATGAATACAGCAGACGTAAGCAAAACTTTGGGGGGAATCTGGGGAAGGAAAGGCTTCTCAACAAATGTCAAAATATGTCAGGTGAAGAATATGAATTTGTAATTGTTGGAAATGTGCTATAGTTATCAAAAATATGTGATCGCTAGGTAGAGTTGTGAAATATGGCAGAAGTTCTCATTGTTCTATGATAAATTTTAATCAAGACAAAAGTAAAACAATACAGCCATTAAATTGATGGGGTAAATCTAGAAGTATTAACATTCAAATAATCGATATATTTTAATGAAAAAATGTTGTAGAAAAACATGCATTCTATGTTCCGTTTTTTTTAAGTAATGAAACTACGTGTGTGCATAGCAAAATGTAGAGCAAGAGACACAAAATTACTAATAGCAAGAAGTAGAATAGGAGAAATATGAGAGAAACTTTCATTTTATTTACTTTTTGTGTTATGATACATTCATTTTTTAAAACCAGAAACATAATAGTTTTTGAATTAAACAAAAGAGTGAGATTTTTAAATTAACAAGATTATACATGTCTTTTTATGGATTTCTCATCACTATAGTGCTCAAGGTACTGTCTTGATCTCCATGATTCACAAAGATTTTGGTGACGCCCTGTCTTTGTTGACTTTGAAAGAAACAACAGAGACAGCACAGCACAAGGAGGAAAGGGAATCTATCAAAAACACTTTGAATAAACAATTAAGAGAGTCTGATTCTAAGTCCTGCCACCAACTTATTTATTTTATAATCTTGTACCAATAGATTCAATTCTCTCTCTTATTTTCTCCATGTCAAAATGAGAGAGAATAATTTCAGACCCCACCTAATGTGATGAGCTATATAGAGGTTAAAATGATAAAGTTTTTTTTTATTACTTTGGGTTTACAAGCAGGAAACAGTCAGCAAGGACTATTATTATTATCATTATTTTCATTATTAATAATAATGGTAATGACCACATTGCTGAGATGTTGGTCATCTGAAACATTATCTCTGCTCTTCCCAGTCTGTATGGCATTGTTTTTCAAACTGATTTACTCTGTTTCTTAATTACTTTTTTGTTGCTCTCTCAGCGAGAGACTCAATACTGAATTATTTCTAATTATGCGTGGTTGAAGTATGCTCAAAAGAAAATAGGTAACATGGAAAAATAAATAGACACTTAATGTAATTAACCCCTCGTGTACATAAATCCTTGTCCAATCATTATTGTTGCCTGTTGAAACTTATCTGAATCTATTCATGTAAAATCACCTTAAGAGACCAGATAAATTCGATTAGTTTCAGTGGTATCAAGTTTCCTTTTTTCTATGATTTTTCTTTTCAGTTTGAGGACATGGGTGATTAGACAATGAATATGACAAGTGAATATAGCAGACAAAATATGGGTATACTTTTATAAGCCTAAAATTGCCAAAAGACAAACAATGTGTCCAGAGTTGTATTACCATTATCACTTCCTAATGTGTCATTTTTAGAATAGTACTAAAAGAGGAAAGCAGAGATAACAACAAAAAAGGCAAGGGCCACAAAAAAGATACTAAGGCAAATAAACCTCATGGCAAGCACTGGAGAGTAAGTCAGGGCTCACGGTGCTTCAAAGGAAAGTTTAGAACAAGCCCCTACATAACACCACCATCATAGACTGATTAACAATGGATCTCAAACCCTTTGCTCACTCTCTGTAACAGTAACCAGAACTGATATTCTTAGTCTTCATGTTTAACCAGCCCAGTCCAGCTGAGATGTTTTGAATGAACATGTGAATGAACACGGCATCTATAAAGCTGGTGGTTCCAAAGCATTATTATCAACTACTTAAACCACAGGTCAGCAAACTCTTCTGTGAAGGTCCAGATAGAAAGTATTTTAGGCTTTCTGGGCCACACATTTTCTGTTGCAACTACTCAGCTCTGCCCCTGTAGCCCCAGAGCAGCAATCGACAATATTTATAAACAGATGAACATGGCTGTGTTCCAATAAGACTTTATTTCTGTACACTGAAATTTGAATTTCATATTAATTTTCACTTGTCATGAATATTTTTCCTTTTTTGATTTGTTTTCAACCACGTAAGTATAAAAAGCATTCTTAGCTCAAGCACTGTGCAAAAACAGGTGGTGGGCCAGATTCGGCTCTTGGCCCATAATTTACTGATGGTTGACTTAAGCAATAGCCTGCAAGTCAATGCAAATTGTGTTGGGAAGATAGGATAATCTTTTCATTTTCCAGTCTCATCTGCATGGCAAATTTAATGTAATCTGTCTGCAATCCCATTGTCACTGACATTATTCTGGAATTCTCATTAAAACTTTTCCTGCATCTTAACAATAGGTTTCTTTTCTGTCTTTCCAATCTCTGAATCACTCTCCATTTCAGTAAGCTATCTCTCTAGAAGTGATATAGCCAATGGTTAAGACTACTAGCCACCCAGATTGGCCTTAGTTAGCCTGACAGTCCCCCTTTTTCCCATGAGCTTTTGGACTCTTTGCCTCTGCTTCTGCTGCCTCCTAGGTGGGGTAACAGAATTTATGCTCTGCTTGCGTCATAAAAGCTCATGTATATTTAAGAGGCAGTTCAAATAGTCCCCTCCACCTCAGTTAGATCTATGTCTCTGCTCCTGAGCATCGTGTTGAAGTATCTATTCTGAGCTCCTTGAGGATAGGGACTGAGCCTTACTTATCTCTGTATTCTCTGACCTAGATATGTTCACAGAGGGAATGGAAGTTGAGTAAACCAAATTAAACTGATTGTCAGTACCTTAGTGTAGGTTTTACTCTCTCTCAAAGCACTCTAGTCTGCCTTAGTCTGAGAATACTTGGCATTTCACACACAAGGAAAGACAGGTCAGACATTGTGAAGAATAATTACTATTTAAGTAAAACCTGATTTCCATAAAGCACTTTATATAATGAGCAAGCCATTACACAAATATTTGTGGTTAATATTTCTACTTCACATGAAAACTTAGGATTTTCCAACTGTGATTTGATCTATCCACTGTAGAGTATTACCATAGTACAGAAAGTGATAAATGCAAATAAGGGAGATTAATTTCAGGAAACATGCTATTTGGGCTATTGAATGTCTGTATATTACAACATCAAAAGAAAACCATAAAGGAAGATACCACAATAAAGTAACAACTAGGTACCTTATGACATTGCTAATCCTCTAAATCAGCACTCAGGATTTCAAATATCAATTAGTAAATATTTATTCAATCTTTATTATGTTTTGGCACCCACTTATTTCTTTAGCTTATTGAGTTGTGCCTGATTGTCCTATCCACACAAATACCTCAAGTGCTTTCTCCTCTGTGGAAGACCCCTACTAATAGGCATTGGAGAGATCTTTACTTTTTCTTATACTTTGTAGAATGAGAATATAAAAATATACAGGGTGGAATTAACATTTGTATATGTGTGCATAGGTCATATGTTTTTATTGCTTTTTTTAAAGAAATACAAATTACTTCTTATAAAATCACAGATAACGTATTTCTGTGCCGTCAACTGTTACACAAGTCTAGAAAGTGTCTAACAACATCAACCAGACGTTTGGACTGAATTATGTGTGCATTCTCAAGAATGATAACTATGGAAAATCCTCCTAGAGAAGCTACAATTACAACAAAGTGGTAGTCTAATTACCAGAAAACATTTTCCATTTTCTTTTCACAGCACTAAGATAAATGGTGAGAAGCTCACTGTTTTTATTATAAATGTTTTTATTTATATTCCATCTTGTTCTAGATTGGCTTAAGGTAACTGAAAAGGACATTGGATATAGATATAGATATAGTTATATAGACATAGGTATAATATAGTATATATGGTATTAAATTTAGAGATGAAAAGGGCACCTGGGTGGCTCAATCAGTTAAGTGTCCAATTTGAGCTCAGGTCATGATCTCACAGTTTGTGAGTTTGAGCCCTGCATTGAGCTCTCAAATGTCAGCGTAGAGCCTGATCTTCTGTCCCTCTCTCTCTCTGCCCACCCCCCCCGCCTCTCTCTCAAAAATAAGCAATTTTTAAAAGTTTTAAATTTAGAGATGCAAGAAGAAGGCAAAACATGAGTGAGGCCACAAAATTTGTAGCTGACCAGCAGCCAACTCAAAAATAAAAATAAACAAAGCAAACAAGCAAACCATGTTCAGGTACATTCTTCATGGCAAACGTAACATAAACACTGAGCAATTATTCAGTAGCAATACAACTATTTTCCTCACCCCCCAAAAAATACTACGTAATGTAATAAATTATAATCTCCACAATATTCCTAGCATTGAAACAAAAATTAGTCTTATAACATTCTTAGCAGATTGGCAGATGACACCAATTACTATTTAGTAAAAGCAATTTGATGGGGGGAGGGGAGCAGTGTAAAATCATTCATTCCAAGCTCTATGATAATTTTTAAAAATATATAACAATCCATCCTTAATTTTATTGAAATGGCTCCATAATGGGATTTCACATGATAAAATATCTTAAGATTATTGAAAGTACAGGCATAAAAACATAGTATTAGTATAGTAATAAATACAGCACTTAGTACAGTAGGAAGTTTTAAACAGACATTGTGAATAAACAATGTGACAGAAAACCCTACCACTCATTAACTATAAACTTAGGCAAAACCCATAGCTTAACCATTCCTGTATTTAACCAACCATAAAACTCAAGTGATAATATTTTTTCTGGCACTTAATTTAAAAGGAAGTTTAAAGATCACATATGTGATCATTAAACTCTGCTAAATACATGTATTATATTAGTGGCAAGTATTAGTGGCAACTCAACAGTAAGGAATGTCTCTGATCTCCATTGTGTGATCATCAAGGTATTTGTTAAGTTCTGAGACAGATATGGTGCAGCACAGGAA